TGATGAAGCAGAAGGTGTTGAACCAGAACATGCCCTACGGCACCATGCAGCCCCACAGTCAGGTAAGGGACTTGCCAGCGCCTCGTCAGCATTTCCTGTTATGTGTTGAAGCTTGCTGTGTTGGTCCTGGATGAAGTTGTACCTCCTCTGCAGGTTATTTGTAGCCTTAGTCCAAGGTCAGTTAGAGGGGAGGGGTCCTAAACACAACTGGTGGGTGCACCGTTATCTTGACCTCAAGGCTAGACTGAAGTAGATTTCGTCATCCCTACCAGTTTGTGCTCCCCAGCGTGACTGAGCAGCGTCAGGCTAGCTCAGTGCAAGTAGTAAGAGATTCACAAGAACATTGAACTTCTAAAGAGAAATGACTGAAATTTCAGTGAAGCTAGACACTAGAGATTCCCAACTTTTCTGCACCAACAGAAGAGTAGATCATCCCTGATGGAAATGTAGAGATTTTACACGCCTAATGAAGAAGATGGGAATTAATGTCCTCTAGAGTTGGTGCATAAAGACAGATCTCACAAGTAGATCGTCTTCTGACGTTTTGTTGATTTATTTTGACCCAGGAGGCCACATCTGCTTGTTGGTCTCACTGTGGAGGGTTATGTCTGCAAACATCAATTAAAAATTCGTCATTAAAGTTTTACTCAATCATTTTTAACTCTTTAAAGACATCATCGGCATACAGAACCCTTAACCTAACCTTCTAAGTGAACCGAACAGTTTTAGTCTGAGGAGCTACGTCTGAAATAACGAGGTTTGACTCTTGGAGAGTCTTTCAGGTTGCTCTTCTTTAGAACCTTCTAGAGGTGCAGGCAGTGGAGGTAAAATGGCGGTAGTTGCCCCAGCAACAAGCCGGGGCTGGGAACGGGCATAAGAAAATGGCCTGTCGCGAGTGTATTGATGCTTCTGCAACACTAGCGGCTCTGATGGCCTTCCCCCTCCTCCCCGAGACACACACACACGCTCATGCGCTCACTCACCAGGCAAACACCAAAGCTAAACGGCTCCTTAGCTCATATCCCCAATCTGTCACAGCTGACTGATGGCTGAGATTGGACCACTAAGCCAAGCTAGATGCTGTCATTACCCGAAGCCCACCTCAGGCGGTTTGTTTCCCAGCAACCGGTGCAGCCGCCTCCCAACGCTCCCGCGGCTCTGCCAGGCGTAAGGTGAGCTTAATAACACCCAGAACAGAGGCTGTTACAACGTGGGTGAACCTATGTTAATTACAATCGCACAAGTCCAGCCTCATGCTGGTATGCAGGTTTCTGCTTTGCTTCTGCTGCTGCTGAGGCTGCAGTCAGTCAGTCACCTCCTCTTCCCTCCTCTGGTGATCTCTGCGTCCCCCCCCCCCCCCCTCTCTCTGCCAAAGACACTCAGCACCAATAAAGGAGCAGATTTATTAATATAAGGCCTTTGTGGCTGGTGCTGCCTGAAGGGCCGTGTGTTTGTGTGCACATGTATGTTTGAGTGCGTTTCGTAGATTTAGGGGGGGGGGGGGGGGTAGAACAAGAGACTGGAGAGATTTATTTGAGGGAACAGAAGAGACCTGGAAAAGAGAGGAGAGAGAAAGGAAGGAAAATGCAGAAGTGAAGAGATTTATTGCAGAGTGACGATGGAGCATACTGAAAGTAAAGTCAAGCGCCTGGAAGGAGAGGAATGTGAGCAGAGCAGAGCGTCCGCACACTCAAACAGCCTCAGTTCTACATCTAATTAGCATCATTTAAAAGTTTAAATCGCACAAACAAATCACATTTTTAAAAAGAAGTGGCTTGTGCCTCTACGTGTGGTTTTCTGAAACCAGTCTTTCATAAATCAGCTAAAATAACACAGTGGAGGAAATTACAGACGTGGACCAGATTAGACTGAACACCAGTATTTGGCTTCTTTAATAACAGTGATTTAATATTTGAGGTTTACAGCATTTCTGGCGGACTGATACCACGGTGGCGGCGGCGGCGGCGGCACTCAAACAGCAGCGTAGGGATTCAGAAGTTCAGTTGAAACAAAAGAAAAACTAAACATATGACTTATGGGCAGTTAACAACAGGTAAGACAGCTTTCTAATGCATCTTAATGACTTTTGAGCAAGATGTGTTTTAAATACCAGAAGATAGCCTCTCATTTTTAAGCATTCATCTCACTACTTCCTGTTTCTAGAGAGACTCCACCCACTTTAGTGATGTCAAAAATGGAAATGGTTCTAACTGTAGATAAAACTCCCTTTAAAATGATATTCAGGCCTTTTTTGTATGTATTTCTGTATAAAAACGATCCATAATCTGATTGTAGCTTCCTGAATGTCCTCAATCTCGGCATCCCACAGAGCTGATAGGCTAACGGCTAGTCTGAGTCCACCCAAGACCATAGTGTCTTCCTGCCATCTTACAGTACCTTAAATCCACTAGTTTCCACAGTGAAATGCTGAAATACTTTACGGACGTTTACGTCGTTATTAATTAGGGATAGACCAATATATCGGTGGGCGGGTATATCAGGCTGATGTACCTTTTTAGTGGAGCAGATTTAGGAGCAGGCACTTCAGTGGAAATTTATATTTACATTCCTGAAAAACATCAGTTTAATGAATGCTCTAAAACAGGGGTATTCAATACCGCCTGCACGTTTGAACACTGATTTTAACTATCGATACAAATATTTAACTACATTTCATCACACAAATCAACAAAGTGATCGAGTATTAACTATAAAACAATAAATAAATAAAAATAAATATCAGTAAAAAAAAAATAAGGTTTTAGAGCCGGGGTGTTCAATTCTGTGCCTGGAGGGCCGGTAT